GGGGGGGGAGAGGTGGAGGTGGAGGGAGGCCGGTGACGTCTTGCCGCGCTGCCGCGCCCTTCTTGCCTCCCCTCCCCTTCAGCGCCTGGGGTATAGGCAACCACTACTCACGCGTGAGTTGCCTCCACACATTGCCTACCCAGCACTTCGCAGGCGCCCAATAGCACATGTAGTGTGGTGGTGGTGGTGTTGCAACACCCAAACACCGCAGTACTGTCACTCTGTAGAATAATTTCGTCAAACGTGTAGCGTCAGATTTTCAAAGAATGATTTTAAGTTTCAAAGAATCTGTATTAAAAGTCAGAGTGGTTGTTACTTTTCAAACTTATTTGTCAAAATTAGTACTAATTCGTAATTTTCATAAACCTGGCCTGAAATTTCACAAACTGTTCATTACTGTTAATAAACTCCCTCTGGTTTCTCATAACCTTGTTATTAAAATTAAGAAAACTTCTGAAAAGTTATAATGTTTTATTAAATTTAAGAACCAGTTCAAATGTTCTGAAATTTAAGAACATTTTCACTCTTAAATTTCATAATATTTTTAACAGTGATGAACAACTTATTCAGACTCGCTGTCATTATTCTGTTCTACCACCTTCCCCCTTTGGCCACTGGTGCTTAACCACCGCTGAATTTTGTTCTTTGTGATTTTTAATTTTCCATCAGGAAAATGTTTAAGTTGAGCAGCTGAAATCATAAAGAAACAGAGAGAGTAATTAATATAAAATAATCAATACAAGATGGGGTTTGTAAAAATGATGCAGGATATATTCTTACCACAAATAGCTCTATTCAAGAGCGTTTTACGAAACGCAATTTTCCCCTTTCCCCCTTCCCAATTGATGGTTCTGGCAAAATTGTTGCTAATTGTTTCCTTCAGTAAGAAATATGTGGCTTCCCCTTCATCAGACTGATCAATGGTCATTTGGCGTAAATGCGAAACCTATGGTGAGTAGGAAAAGAAATAATTAAGTTCTACAATTACAAGCTACGTGCACTGCAAATTGCAAGTACATTTGGATAGGTTTCAGTCTTACTCACAAATGCCTTCATATTCGCTGGTTGGGCTAAAAACGTTTCCATAGCATCCAGGTAATAGTCGGGTATTACCGAAACGGCAGTTTTTCTCGGACAGACTTCAAACTTTGGTTTTCGAGGTATTTTGATGCGGAGAACAAGATGAGGGGTGAAAATCAACGATCCGAGCACCTTCAAAATTCACTAAATACTAGCATAATAACAGGTTAGATTTCGACGACATGGCCGACATGGCCGACAGCACTAGCTTGAGCAGAGGCGCCGATCAACGCCACCTGTCGGTAAGTTACTCAACCACGTCGCCGGACCACCACGCCCCCCTCGCTCCCCACACCCCGCCGGTTCAATCACAACATTCCCCATTCATTCGGTGCACAGTGCAACAGGTGTTAAAATGCGTATTTCCGAGTGCAAAACTTTGAAGGACATCTATGCCTTTTTTAGGCAGTCCGAAAAAGATGTTGTCGCGTCCCTTCAGGAGGAAGGCCTCCTTCTGCCCCTTAAAAAGTGTTCGAAGTCATCGTGTAGGCAAATGCAAGTGCTGTATAGGAATGCAGATTATAAGGGTCACTATGCTGCATACTGCAAGAAATGCCGTCGCTATACCAGCCTTTGCTCTGACACCTTCTTTGAGGGTACCCATCTATCCTTTGAGGATACATTTGTCTGCTTGTGGACTTGGTGTGCCCATGTGGCCCAAACAGACACTGCTAACGTCACGGGGATTACCAGGGAAGCTGTGAACCAGTACCATCGATATTTCAGGTATAGTGGTACTTCTAATGTGTTGTGACTTTCATTTCTTCTGCACTTTCCTAACAATCATTTGGGGCTTCTGCTGTTTTAGAGATATTGCTTCTTGGAAAATCTTAGAAATGCCCCCTCGGCAGCTTGGAGGAGAAGGAGTGATAGTTCAAATAGATGAAAGCGTCATCAGCAAGCGAAAATTCAATAGAGGGAGGGGGCTAAGAAAAACCATAAAAGAAAAATGGGTACTTGGCATTTACGATACTCAACAAAAATTAGGAGTTGTGCTCTATGTTGTGAAAAGAGACAAGCAAACGTTAGTGCCTCTAATTAGACAATATTGTGTGGTAGGCAGTGATTTATGGACTGATGGGTGGGCGGCATACAAGGGCCTTGATAAACATGGCTATCAACACCATGTGGTAAACCATAGCAAAGAATTCAAAAGTGCTGATGGTACCTGTACAAATGGGGTAGAGGGCTACTGGTCTAGACTAAAACTGTACTGCCGCCACACAGGTGTTCTGAAGAGCAAGCTGTTGGCCGAGCACATTGACGAGTTCATGTACAGGCAGCATTTCCGAGGTGATACCCCTTTTAAATTTAGAACTATAATTGAACACATCAAGGAGAGGTATCCTATTTGAATGTTCTAATTTCCTTACTTTATATTTTGTTATGTTTTATTTTGTAGGAGCCTGTTATTCTATTTGTATATATTTATTGAAGTTTCAAAAGGGTGATATATATATAGGGAGAGGTATTTATATTTGCATGTTAAATACCGAGTAACTCACTCCAAAGAATTTGCCCCTCTTGTTTCAAAAGGGTGATATATATATAGGGAGGGGTATTTATATTTGCATGTTACATACCAAGTAACACACTCCAAAGAATTTGCCCTTTTTGTAATCCAAGAAAATAAATTTATTTTGAATACCTAACAAGGTTTACATCATTGGCTTTGGTACACCATTGAGATACGCAAAGCAGCCCAAGTTCATATCATATGAATAATATCGTGCTCTTCGCTGTGGTCCTTCTACAGGATCATTCCAGTAAGCAAACAATTCTTGCATTTTCTTAATCTTTTTCTCGATGTCCTTATCCTTCTTATGGCGAATCCTGAGAAACTTAATGACGCGGTACATGTTGTCCCCGTTTTGATAACAGAAGCACGCAATGAAGAGGCGGTTCTTGTAGTTTAGTGGGCCCCAAAACGCACGGCGGTAGTCCTCAGACATTGGACCCCAATGCACCGGGTCGCCTACACTGTCCAAGACACCTAGCCACGCTTCGTACAAGGGACACCGAGGCATTTTGACACCTGTTGCACTGTTGCACTGTGCACCGAATGAATGGGGAATGTTGTGATTGAACCGGCGGGGTGTGGGGAGCGAGGGGGGCGTGGTGGTCCGGCGACGTGGTTGAGTAACTTACCGACAGGTGGCGTTGATCGGCGCCTCTGCTCAAGCTAGTGCTGTCGGCCATGTCGGCCATGTCGTCGAAATCTAACCTGTTATTATGCTTGTATTTAGTGAATTTTGAAGGTGCTCGGATCGTTGATTTTCACCCCTCATCTTGTTCTCCGCATCAAAATACCTCGAAAACCAAAGTTTGAAGTCTGTCCGAGAAAAACTGCCGTTTCGGTAATACCCGACTATTACCGCATCCAGAGGTTCTTCTGTTTCTTGAAGCAGATTAGGCATATTTGCTGGTTCATACAGTTCTTCACCTTCAGGAGCCACATAAGCTAAAATTTTGGCCTGATTC